TTCTGTGTTCGTTGGCAGTTGGCAGTTGGCAGTTGGATGTTGGATGTTGGATGTGGGTTTGTTGTATTTTAGGTTGGAAGTAAAGTTCTGCTGTGAGTAGTCAAGCCACACTCCGAAGGGTTACATATGTAACAACTCTCCAAAATCTTATCAAGCCCACTCTGCTCCTCATGAACAGCCCGAACATCCAGCCCATCACCCCTCCCAACCCAACCAGGCCCTCTTGGGAGCTCTAAATTAGACTCATCACTCCCAGACTCAACATCAAGCAATCCAACCAATCAACAAATAAGACTGAATCCAAAAATGGGATGCCAAAATTATACCATTCCCACTTCAACCTTCATCTTTTTATCAAATCTTCAAGGAAATCTCATGCTCATCAACCCAGCCTTAGAACTTCCACCTCCTGAGGAAGAAACCAATTAGCCAAGTTCTCATCATCATGAGGAAGCCATCTTTTTTCACTTGGGATGGGAGACAACTCAACCCTCAGCCAACCTGTGCCCTCCTCAGAACATTCACTATCAGTCACCTCATCATCCATCAGTCAGGCAACTACAGTACATCTTACATCCTCATCCATCATTCCTAACTACCTCATCAAACCAACTCTATTATCAGCTCATGATCTACATACATACATCCATACATCTGAGACCTATACACCTCATTGGCTCAAACAGTGGGCTTGACATCCAAGGCATCTTAGTCTGGGCATGATGTGTCTACTCAAGAGACATTCTTACTGACCAAAATCAACTCTCCAGATCCAACTTATCTAAATCTTCCAAATGTTAATCCTCAGTCTCAATCTCTCATGTGAACCCCCCCCCCCCTCAATGAAGATCTAAAAAATAAAAACACTCAACTTCCCTGGTAACACAACAAGTTAGATGTCTTGATGGACTTCTGTGGATTGATTTTACTTCACTTTTTACCCCCCTAGCACAATTGAATTTTTTGTGTCATGTGATTTGATTGAACAAAGCATTAGCACACTGGTCATACAACCTGGAAAGCCACAGAAATATAAATTTCCACATCATATGAGAGATCCAGGGTTGAAAAACTTAAGAAGAGGGAGGAGTTTGACTGACACTACACCAATGATGATTTGAAAACATTGATAGTATTTTGTTAGCAATAGGGCATTTCATCAGGAGCCAAACTATTAATTAGAGAAATGTGGTGGAGCAGGGTTGATGGTGTCTTTCACTTTAGATACCAAAAATGGACACAAATACACAACCATCACACATCATCATCATCATCACCAATCACACAGAGAAAAGAGTTTACTATCTTGTATGCGATACAGCTGTAAGAGACAGAATATATAAAAAAAACTTTGAATTTGAATTGAGAGCAAGAGTGTGCAAGCTATATTGGTCAGTGTTTCGAAGAAAGATGTAAGTACAACCTCGACAGCTGGGAAATTAAAAAATGGATTAAAATGAAATAC